AAAATGAGTAGGTGTATTTAACACACCGTGATCAACACCATCCCATATGATGGACTCAGCAACCACAAGGTAATCAGGTCAAATTACGCAGATGACACAACATCGTTTAGGCAGAAAAAGAATAATTGGCACCAATTTCAAGGATGAAAATAAGCGAAACACCACATATTTTCTGCCTTCATCCATACAACCAAGAGCCTATCCAACATACCTTTGCATGATTATGGAAATAACACGGAAGTTTTGGAGATTTTTCAGGGAAGGTGTTACTAGGACTACCACTTTACTGACTGACAAGAAACGACTTCAACATCCTCCAAAACGTTTAGGAGTATCATCACACATGGAGCAAACACGCGCGTTATCGAGATCGAAGAGGACAACCGACTAACACAACCCTTACACTGCCGACCAAAAAAAATCTTGCATCTACGCAAAGCTCTAAACTAGGTGCTACCAACTATCCGGAACTAAAAGGGCACATGCCACACACGTGTGATTCACTGAAATTAGTTGTTTTTGAGGAGAAAGGTTGAAAAAAGGTGCAAACATCCCACTTTATATTCATGCTAAGTCAGTATTTTTTCTGTCCAGAATGGAGAGTACATAAAGCTGAATTTGACAACTTCTCAAAGTAAAATTTTGCACAAATACTCCTACCAAATTTCCACAGTCAAACACACTGAAAACGACCAGATTTCGCTCCCAATTTAGGCTGGGAAAGAAACCTATGCATCAACTTGGTGTTGCTGTAGCATTCACATACCTTATGCTCTTCGATAACCTAATCATCGTTCTCACGCAAAACGTTATAGAAGTGGACCAACCGGTCAGATACAAACCACCTTTCTGGATAATATGAATTGAACATTTGTGAATAAATTTAACGTGCTTCATGAGTTTCATGAACTAACAAAACAGAACGATGGTTGCATATCATTAAAAGTTGTACGCTTGACTTCCTACTTTCGGTGTCACATATGTGGCACTTGGCACAGCGCCAAGTTGTCGCACCTAGAGACAGGCTAATTCCAAATCAGTAAAAGTTGGTGTAGGCTGACCATGGACCGGGGAGGGCTGCACTTTTAGTTCCCTTCAGCAATGACTGGGTTGGTTAAAAAAGCAAATCAGAACAATAGAACACCTAGACAGTTGTCACCAACACTCCACTGAAAACCTGACCTGACGGTAGCAAAACCAAATCACGCAAATTTCAAGTCCATTCAACAAATAAGGAAGCAAAAAACCTGTCAGCAAATGAACCCTGGTTCATTAACGTGTCAAAAAAGGAAAAAATACATAATTAAATCCGAGGATTTCCAAATTTCTTTACCTCAAAACAGGCAAACCTGAGGCAAAGATGGTTAGATATGAAGCATGGGCGTGCATCACTACTGATCCAGATGGACGTTTACAATCTAAGCAAATTGCGTGATTAAGCGAATCCATGGAAAGTTAAAGCAAATAAAAACATCACTGTGGTACGAATGTTTAAATAGCAAGAAAACGTATTCTTATGAATCACTGTAAAGTAAGGAAAACTCACTACGATCATCCACAACAACATCCTTCAACAACGCAAAGTCTGCTACGACAGCAGTGGCAAAGATAGCTGAGACTCCAAATGGATCGACATTCACACTTCTCCCTTCCTACATCGTGTATCAAGCTTAAAAGGTGAAAAAAAATGACTTTTAATGACGCTGCTGCGGTACTGGAAAGTCCACTGAAACCACATTTGAATACTCATATTTCTACAATGCTGTAGGGTTCATTAGTTAATACTTAAGAATGGAAAACAACCCTCCCAAATATTGCTTGAGACACAACCTCCCACTACCACAATACCTCATTTATAGTGTAAGTGATCGTATAGGGTAATTTTATACAATTTAATGTAAATTCATAATGTAAGACGTAAAGCTTTCGAAAACATAACATGACCAAGATAAAAGCGCAAAGGTGAAGAGCACAATCTGCATAAGTAGGCATGAGCCAACTAAGGCTACTTTCACTTCCCTTTACGATTATTTATTTGACTATGTGGATAAGTGCACTGAATGAAACTTACACATATCAAGACCTGACCCCGGCTTAAAACCTACTTAAACAGCAGCAATGTCACGGTACGCGAGAAGTTGCATTCTGCTAAGGGAACTAGAGAAAGTACCGGACGCATGTCCGAAAAGGACTGAAAAGTAGACAAAGACTTTTAACCATATCTCACAAGTCAAACTGCTTAGGCATATACAAGCTACGAACAGATGAATATAACAACAACACCGTATACAGAGGTTGACTCAAAATAGCGATATGCTACTTACAGGTCAGGACTTGATTCAAGAGGAGTAAAACGAACTCCAATTCGACTTCTAATTAATCAAAGGTCTGAAAAAAAGTTAGTAGAATTTTCACCTACCATAAATACCAGCAACATGTATGAGCGAAACCGTCAAGAATAACCGTCGCAAACAATTCGGGAGCACATTTACATGCAAACCCAAGCAAGCCGTCACCAAGCAGGAGAAGCAGAGCGCACGATTCCTGACGAATTCATAAAAAACAAAGCGTCCTCAAACTGAGAAATTAAAAACTTAGCAAAAAATTAGTGTATTATAAGTTTAACTTATTTTTTTAAAAAAGCCAAACTAGTTGTAGGCATGTCTAAACTAATAACAACCTAGTCTCTTAGCCAAATAGCCACTAAGTAAATTTTTAAAAAATGCGCATTATTCGTCAACCCTAGCTACATGTTTTATTCTAAAACACATGATGGGGAATTAGTGTAGCGTTAAACGATGGTTGTTTATCCCTAGGTATTGCCGAGGAATCACTTTTGAATATGACCTCGAACCATGTCAGTAGCCTAAATGCCTTCCTTTTGCTGCATTTATATGTACTGCTCAAGTATTATGTCTTTTTTTGTCTTCAGGGAAGTCTTGGTACGCTGCAGTAGTGCCTTAAGTCAATAATGACTCTGCAATAGACCATACCGGTATGAAGCACTGCTTACAGCTAACATATTCAACGTTTAAAAGAGCAAGGGCTTAAACTTCAGCTGTCCGAGAAACAATGATGAAGTATGCTTAGTGAAAGTCCTCGCGTTTACAAACTGCTTCGTTCGAAATGCACAACTCTGTACTTAACTGATACGTGTTTAACACACCATGATGCAGCGCTAACAAGGTAGTCCACCGGTGTTATTCAAAAATGAAGTTTATGCTTACATGGCTGTCTTTTGAAGGCAGTTTTAGGAAAGACTTCCTTGACATGCATGATCTCAAATGCTCTGTCGCGATTAAAAATGTACTCTGGTTACTGGATTTTATTAGACCTTAAGTCGAAGGTAAGGTGCCAAATCGAATCGTGTGAAATGAAATCGTTGTGATCCTGGTCTCTCTTTCCCAATGGAGGAAATAGGATGATAGCTATTTGCCAGGGTGTGCTTCTCCCATTCACCATCGTGTAAAACTAGACCATGCAGTGGAATTACTAATTAATTTGAACACCATTTCACGATATGTCGTCACTAGACAATTGTGATATCGCTGTGTGATGTGTTGTGTGTCGGAGAAATTGTGAGCAGAAGGTTGGACTGAAGCTCCAATCAATGCAGCTGTCGAAGAAAATGCGTTTTGCAACAATTCAACAAGGGTATGCCGTGCGACACTGTGACGGAAGATGGATTGCGGAGAATTAAAGGACGGGTCTCTCCCATTCTTTTTTAATCTGTCCCACAACGGCAATTGCATTACACTTCTACGCTATCTACACCTAAAACAGCATCCGTCAGAAACTGCCAAGACTTCATATTTACAAATCGGAGTTTAAATTGGTGCTCTGCCAATAGTGCATGTAATGGGACTCACAGCAGCAGCGTCAGGTTACATGACCGGTGATTCGAACAAAATTCAGGAAATCTTATTGAAGGCACAAGCACTATAACTAGCCAGTGAAAGGATGAATTGTTCTTTCTCTTCCCCAACAACAAAATAAAATCTGCTAGTGAACCATATGGTCATTTCACCATTATTCCTTCGGAACGAGCGGTCTCATTAGATCTTGACTCTTTGACTTGGTAATATTTAGGACGATGTGCAGTGATCAGGATTATGCTTGTTCGGCGTACAACTCATTATTGGAAGTAAGTGACATCGGCTGCACCAAAACATTCGTGCTCATTAACCACCTCTCACCTCAACTGTGCATTCAAGGAAGTACGATTTGTGCATTATGGCAATCTTCCATTGAGCTCGTTAGTTCGATTCGGCAGAGGTGTAGAGTAGGAGAGGGGAAACAGTGCATTGCATCTGTAAATCAACGTGACCTTTTAATGGAAAAAGCTAGAATTCGTAGTCGCTGCAATGATCTGGCAGTTCATCTTAGTAGGAAGTGAGGGTTTCGACGCTTGCACCATCTCCAGCACCAAATTGACCGACTGAAGGGGAACAGAATGAGTGAACAAACGGGCAGATGCAAATGTCAATTATGGAGGCTACTAAAGGAAAGGGAAGGCATAGCAAGATTTAATTTAACCTGCCTACTCTACGGATTATCAGTTCGCCAACATTGAACATTATTGTGATTGTTTGCCGAGCGAGCAGCTGAATGATCACTGGCATTGGGATTTTACCCCACTTTCATTCCAACTTTCTGCTGGAAACGTCGAAGTCCTCAATGCAGCTATTTCCACTAGACGGAAGTTGACCATTCGCCTGTGCTGGTTTGGTGGCCACAAATCGGTGAGTTGAGGTGAATCTCCTCAAGTTATCTTCTGTTATCCCATCGAAGGCCATGGACAAACTAGCGGGAGAGGCTTTCACTGATCGAATCGAATTGATAGCTATTCTAGAGGGTAAGCTCGTGATGTGTGGGTAAGTTGATTCACGTTTATTGACCTTTAGCCAATCAGTTAAAAACAGTCAAATAAA